ATTTTCGCTAGTCGAGGAGGAGGACGGTTTAATTACATCACAAATAAAGTTTCACCATGCATAACTCAAAGTTTTGTCATACAAAAAGTATGGACTAAACGGACACATTGTCATATATCGACAATCACTCCACCATGTTGTGCCATCCATCCATGTCAGGGACATAGTCCTCGAGCTTAGTGAAAGGCTTTCATTTTCATTTACTTTTCTACTTATTTTTCTATTTTTTTTACATAGCAGTAGCGCTCTACAGCAAAAACGCGCTGCTACAATGTTTTTAGCAGTAGCGTGCTTCTGGGAGAACCGCTACTACTATTCCTAGCCTATCGACACTAGTGAGGGAATTTTAGTAGTAGCGCTTTTCTGTGAAGACGCGCTACTGCTAAAACAATGGTTGTAGCGTGGTTTTGCAACAAGCGCTACTACTAAGTAGCGCTAGCGCCGAGTTTTGACCAACGCTAGTGCTATACCTCTGTGTATAGCGTTTTCCCTAGTAGTGTCATCAATTACCAAAAAGGGGAAGATTGAAAGCACAAGTGCTCCCTGGGTGATTTTGGTAATTAATGTCAACATATCTCTTGTTGGACTAATACTTTCATCTAGTATATTTCAGATGAGTTCAATATTGGAGTGGCAGGACAAAAGGATGTGGAACCCCTTCAAGATGCTAAGGACACGTATTGGCAAAAGCTCAAGACTCTACATTTTCATTTTAGTGATCCAAGATCACACTGAGTCCATAGGAAAGCCAATACTATTAAAAGGGGATGAGGTGTTGCTTAATGGCTTGCTTGCTCAAAGTGCTTAGTGATATGCTCCAAATCCCTCAACCACTTTCTCATTTCCACATATGTCCCAAACCTAAAGTCAAACTCAGCCCCACCGATTTGATCTATCTGGCGCCACCGAGTTCACTTGACATAGCCACTGCGAGAAACCCTAATAAGTTTGGTCTCACCGATGGGATCTCGATCTCACTGAGATGGCCTTGCAAACTCTCTGTTACCTATTGCATATATTTCGGTCTCACCGAGATATGCGGCCGGTCCCACCGAGTTTGCTTGACCAAGTCTTTGTTTGCTTATTGCTGAAATCGGTCCCACCGAGTTCATGCAATCGGTCTCACCGAGATGAGGTTTTGCTCTAACCCTAGCACATCGGTCTCACCGAGTTGACCTTGTCGGTCCCATCGAAAACTCTAACGTTCATATTTTGAACCATATTGGTCTGACCGAGTTTCACTATTCGGTCCCACCGAGTTTGGTAATTTGTGTGTAACGGTTAGATTTTGTGTGGAGGTTATATATACCCCTCCGCCCCTTCTCCATTTGAGAGAGAGCCATCAGAACATGCCTACACTTCCACTACTCATTTTATGAGAGAGAACCACCTACTCATGTGTTGAGACCAAGACATTCCAATCCAACCACAAGAATCTTGATCTCTAGCCTTCCCCAAGTTGCTTTCCACTCAAATCATCTTTCCACCATATCCAAATCTGTGTGTGAGAGAGAGTTGAGTGTTGGGAAGACTATCATTTGAAGCACAAGAGCAAGGAGTTCACCATCAACACATCATCTATTACCTTTTGGAGAGTGGTGTCTCCTAGATTGGTTAGGTGTCACTTGGGAGCGTCTGCCAAGATTATGGAGTTGAACCAAGGAGTTTGTAAGGGCAAGGAGATTGCCTACTTCGTGAAGATCTACCCAAGTGAGGCAAGTCCTTCATGGGCGATGGCCATGGTGGGATAGACAAGGTTGCTTCTTCGCGGACCCTTCGTGGGTGGAGCCCTCCGTGGACTCACGCAACCGTTACCCTTCGTGGGTTGAAGTCTCCACCAATGTGGATGTACGATAGCACCACCTATCGGAACCATGCAAAAAATCTCCGTGTTTCCAATTGCGTTTGCACACTCCAATCCCGTCCCTTTACTTTCTTGCAAGTTGTATGCTTTATTTTCCGCTGCTCACATACTCTTGCATGCTTGCTTGAAATGTATTGTGAATGTTTGAAATTGTGCTAATCTCCAACCTTAACTTGAAAAACTAAAAAACTGCTACCTTTACTTGTTGAGGGTCTAATCCCCCCTCTAGACACCTCTTCTCGATCCTTTCAGATGCGTAGCCCACTTAACATTACAACATATAACCATCTCATACATAAACCCATTATCATGACAAAGTCTATACCACATCATATGGATACCCTGCAAAACCAAGTTAGACATCCTCTAATTGGTTTCAGCAAAAAATTAGTTATGTGGTTAACCAGTTTTAACAAGTAACACTAGCTACCCATGTCCACAATTTAGGCAATGATTCTTGTTGCTAGATTTAAGTTTCGGGGTGTGTGAAACAAGAGACTTAATTAAAAATCTTTAGCCCAACACTAAACTTCATCAAATATGTGTGACCCACCTAGATCATCATCCATCTTCGGCACCCTCTCGTCTATGCAATAGTTCACTATTCTCAACTATAGTGAAGCCCAAGGAACTGTTAGTAGATCATCGACAGCCAGAGCTGATCGATTGTCAGAACCTTGTGAAAGGCGACACCATGTCGTCGATGAATTGAACTAAAGCAACACTCGAGGGAAGCATAGCAAGAACATCAACCCTCACAACCACATGCGATCTAGATCGTAACCTACCTCTACTCATATAACTGCTCATGATGCCCTTGTTGGGAAACATAGTAGAAAAGAAAAAAAAATCCACACCTACGATCACCCAAGATTACTATGAAGATGCATAATGGGTTGGATCACGATAGTTACTGTCACTGAGTTGCAGTGGAAGAAGAACGTGTCAATCTAGATCATACTTGGAGTCCCTCAAACTGTTGATGAATGATCCCTCGTACCGCCCACAAACAGTCCCTCGAACTAAAGACCGAAGCACGGTCTCTCTAGTTAGTTGCAAGCGTGCAACCTTCACGATCCGGCAACACTTTACCGTCTAGAGCTAATCATCACTAGAGAATTAGAGGGAGGAGATTAGAACCAATTGGGCTTATAATTATGACAACAAGAGGATTGGCCTAGCTCTAATTAGTCAACTAGAACCAACTAGAAGTATAACTAGAAGAACTAGAGGAGGCTCCAAAACTTGTATCTCCAAAAGAGCAAAATCCTCATGTATATATAGGTTGGAGGGGGAGGAGAGGGCAAACACCAAGGGGGGGAGTTTCCCCCTTGGGGAGGTGGCCTAGGAGGGGGAGGTGGCCTAGGAGGGGGCGGTGGGATTCCTCCCCTTTTTCCAATTCGGCCTCCTTCCTTTAGGGATGGAGGCACTTTCCCACTTGTGCCTTCTTGGCCCAAGTTGCCTTCCACCTCTTGGCCTTTTTACGCCCGTTGATATTTCAATTAAATATAAAATGTTCTAAACACTTCTAGACCATTATATAGGTAAAACTATGTCTATCATAGCTTGCCACAGAACTAGTTAAGGTTTGCTAAACATTTAAGGGTTTAAAAGTAAGTAAAAAATATGAAATAAATAGGGGATCCTTACTCTGATATAATAAGATGATCCAATGGTGTGATGTTGAAAATTTGCATTTATGTGTCCTCAGCGAAAAAAACAAGCATTTAAGCACACTGCAGGATCAATATATATTGAAACATTTGTTCTTTTTGTCCAGGACACATGCAGTCATATTTTTTCAATCCATCCGTTGGATCATGTTATATTATAGGTGTGTTGGTTCAGTATTTTTTTTAGAATTTTTGAGTATTTTTACACCGTCGAAAACCTTAACTAGTTCTGTGGCAAGATATATATATATATATATATATATATATATATATATATATATATATATATATATATATATATATAAGACTCCTCTTTTATACTCCCGGAAGTATATACTCCCATGGAGTAAACGGGTTAGCGCTTATTAGATCTAATCACTAATTGCTCCACCAGCCACCGATGCATGCATGCATGCGTCAACAGATGGAGAGATTCGAGGATCCTGCTACAAAGATAAGGTTCTGTTCGTTCAAGGCAACAATCACATGCACTTAATATTTTTGTATGAAGACTAATAAGTACAATGCGTCTCATACTTGCTCTTTACTTATTTAATAATTTGTCTACGCACAAGCATGAACTACCTGTTCCGGTAGTTGCATACTGACCTCTTCCAGCAACATATATACTACTTTGGGGAGATAGTCTATACCAGCTTTTGTATGTGATTATATACTGCTTTTTTAGTAAGGGAGTATATACTGTTTTTTTGGTAGGGAGTATATATTTTTTTAGTAAGGGAGTATATACAACATTTTTGACAGGGGAGTATATACTTGTTTTTTATTTAGGGGGTACATACAAATTTTTTATGTGAGTATGTACTACTTTTTTGGTGGGGAGTATATACTGTTTTTTTGGTAGGGAGTATATACAATTTTTTAGTAAGGGAGTATCAGTAAGTATATACAATTTTTTTGGCAGGGTAGTATATATTTGTTTTTTTATTACGGGAGTACTTACAAGTTTTTTTTACGTGAGTATATACTGGTTTTATGTGAGAGTCAAGTCGTTGCAATGAGTTAAAAGATGAAGCAGGCGGGTGGCCGAAATGAGTATGATAAATTCAAAGTATACATAAAATAGTATATCAAAAACTAGATGAAACAACAGGTGTAATACATTTTATAATGTGGTTGTATATATGGCACTAAACACAGAAGGCTTCTCCGCAGAAAAATAAAGCACTTGTTGTACAGGGAAATGTACGTTCCTTTCCAAAATATTCCAGCAGCAATTTCATACAAAGACGAAACTGAACATATAAAGAAAGATGGCAGCAAGGTGCGGTTCTTGATCCTTCAATGAAAGGTTTCTACAGAGTGATAAAATTAGCAACCAGAGCTACTGTTTCTTTTTGCGGGGTATACTACTTACCCAAAGATGAAATAGCAGCGGGAATCACTACTCCCTCCTTTTGGAACAGAAAGAGTATCTCTGAATCCATTTGATCATACGTCCACTAACAAAATAATTCAAGATATATGTCAATCTGTTTACGGCTAGCTGGGATCGATAATGCGACACTACGGCATTGACCGCCAGAAGCCATATGAATCAATTCTTCCACGTGAGACTCCCAGCCCCCATCCATAAGGAACATCCACAAAGCACCGTAAAATTCTTCCGTCCACAAAAATTCAGCAAACAATGAGATCCAGGACGGGACCACATGCGTCTCTTTCAGATCTAAAAGAAAGCAAGACAACTATGGTTAATGGATGGGAAGATGTGACGGATCTGGACATGGGATTAACATGCAGAGAACGTCCAAGAGAAAAATCACTGACCTCTTATGCCCATAAATCTCAGGTTCGGACGGTCTTGTGCTCTCCGATCCGTTGGCCGATGCAAGCTGTAATCTAGATCGGTCGCCGGGGAGTGATGGTGGCGCCGCCGCAGTTCCGCTGCTGACGTGTGCCGGGGAGCCGGCCGTTTCGGTTTGGGATGTGCGAGGCGGATGGAAGGATAAGGTATGAGAGCGCCAGAAAAATCGGTTTGTTACTAATTTATAATCATCACTCGTAACGGATGCGGAAATTGTGAACCAATTCTCTCAAAAAAATGAAGCGAGGAGAGGAACGTTCACGTGGGCAACTGCAGACGAATGAAGGAATATGTACTCCTGGGAGTACTAACCTATTTTTCTATATATATAATTTATCGGTAATACCCGGTATTACCCGATACTCACCAAAAACCTTTCGGTGACCCCGAAATGCTTTCAGATCCTCTCGGAACTATTCTGAATATTTATGAAATAATCCCACAAATATATTCTCATGAATCCCATCGTACTAACACTCAACAGATCATGATTGCCCTAAGCTTGTGACCCAGTAGGTTCGGTATGTCATAGACATGAATGAAATCATCCGTTCAATGACCGCCAGCGGGACCGTGGACGTCCATATCTTTACCTACTAATAAAGCATGCATTGCTTCTTCAGGTTCATCATCGCGGTGTTTTTTTAAAAAAAGTCCTTCTATTTCTTGGTAATTAAACCAACAGTCCCTTCTTAAGTGGATATCTGAGGAACGATTCGTTTTTGAGCAAAACCCCCTAACATTAGGTATATTCAAACTATGGTACACCTTCCCCTCCATATTATGTATCTTATCTAGCTGCTCCCTTTGCAGCATGGTGGAGGACGAGAAGGTGAGGGCGGCGCAGTTGTTAGCAGCGTAGACGACTACAGTCGCAGTGGAGGACGAGAAGACGGACACCGTGGGTGCGTGCTCGGGTAAGGGAGGCCACCCTTGCTGCGCTCCCAAGGGCGGTCGGCTGGTCGGGCGAGCATGAAGGCCCTCAGCACACATGCCTCCGACCTGCTCCGCGGCCCGCACCTCATCCATGCCGCCATGCTTTTCTTCGCCTGTGCTTCGCCTCCTTCCTTGCCGGCTACTGCTAGTTCGACACATCCGCGAGTCCCCTCTTCTTCTCACTCGTCTTCTCCCCCTCTCCCCCTCTTCCCGCATCTCATCCTGCTCCACTTCCGTCGCCATCTCGCCCAACTCCAACATCTCCTTTGACCCATCCCTAATCCTGGATTGACAAGTTCCCTGCCTGCCCCACGAGCATGAGGGAGTACATTCCCTGCCTCAATAACAATGAGGAGATCAGGTTGTTGTGCTCCATGGAGCATGAAGAGTGGTTCGAGTGACCATTGCACAAGCCCTGAGCTGCCTCATGCCATCCCACAAGGGGTATAAGGCACCCATCCCCTGGCCTCGGAGCAGAGACAAGGTGAACATTTGTGTTGATTATTGCCGGCTCAACTGGGGTAAAGAACCTTTTGGTTTTATTATAATGGAACATGGCTTTGTAATGTTGTAATCTTCTTCTGTGGTTTCTGCTAGCAACTATCTGCACACATGGTTTCACTAATCTCAGTGCTCAAAGTTTTACATTGAATGAACTAGACACGATTTAAGCAACATTTGATGTATGCCATTATTGCTACAGAATCCAATTGAACCAACTAAGCTGGCTTTTTCCTAGAAACTGCAGCATCCATGTAATGGAATTTCTGTAATGTAATTCTGTGAATTGCAGGTGTGATTTAGCAATGTACCTCATACACGCTTGGTTGATGACAAAGGAGGGCAAAATTGGATTACCAAGGCTAAAGATAAATTTACATTTCCTAGGGAGAACTGATACGTCCATTTTGCGTCATGTTTTTATGTTGATATTTATTGCATTATGGATTGTTATTACACTTTATGATACAATTCTTGTGCCATTTCTCTCTTATTTTGCAAGATTTACATGAAGAGGGAGAATACCGACAGCTGGAATTCTGGATCGAAAAGGAGCAAATCTGAGATCCCTATTCTACACAACTCCAAATGTTGTGAAACTCTACGAAGAATTATTTTTTAATATATAAAAAATATTGGGAGAAGAAATACCAGGAGGGGACCCACTAGGTGCAACAAGCCAGGGGCGCGCCCCCTGAGCTTGTGGGCCTCCTAGCCAACCTCCGGTGCCCATGTTCTGCTATATGAAGGGTTTTGACATAGAAAAAATAAGAAGAAGGCTTTCGGGATGAAGCGCCGCCATCTCGAGGCAGAACCTAGGCAGAGACAATCTAGGGCTCCGGCAAAGCGATTCCGCCGGGGAAACTTCCCTCTCGGAAGGGCAAATTGAAGCCATCGTCATCACCTACGATCCTCTCCGTGGGAGGACCAATCTTCATCGACATTTTCACCAACACCATCTCATCTCAAACCCTAGTTCATCTCTTGTATTCAATCTCTGTCTCGAAACCTCAGATTGGTACCTGCGGGTTGCTAGTAGTGTTGTTTACTCCTTGTAGTTGATGCTAGTTGGTTTATTTGGTGGAAGATCATATGTTCAGATCCTTAATGATATTCAATACCCCCTGATCATGAACATGAACATGCTTTGTGAGTAGTTACTTTTGTTCCAAAGGACATCTGAGAAATCTTGTTATAAGTAATCATGTGAATTTGGTATTATTTCGATATTTTGATGAGATGTATGTTGTCTTTCCTCTAGTGGTGTTATGTGAATAACGACTACATGACACTTTGGGAAGTAGAAAGTAGATGATGGATTGCTAGAGTGATAGAAGCTTAAACCCTACTTTGTGCGTTGCTTCGTAAGGGGCTGATATGGATCCACATGTTTAATGATATGGTTAGATTTATCTTAATTCTTCTTTCGTAATTGTGGATGCTTGCGAGAGGGGTTAATCATAAGTGGGAGGCTTGTCCAAGTAAGGAAAGCACCCAAGCACTGATCCGCCCACATATCAAATGATCAAAGTAGCGAATGTGAATCCTATGAGCATGATGAAAACTAACTTGATGATAATTCCCATGTGTCCTCAGGAGTGCTTTGCTTTATATAAGAGTTTGTCCAGGCTTGTCCTTTGCTATAAAAGGAGTGGGCCACCTTGCCGCACTTTTTTACACTTGTTACTTGTTACCCGTTATGAATTATCTTGCTACCAAACTATCTGTTACCGATAATTCCAATGATTGCAGAGAATACCTTGCTGAAAACCGCTTATCATTTCCTTTTGCTCCTTGTTGGGTTCGACACTCTTACTTATCGAAAGTACTATGGTTGATCCCCTATACTTGTGGGTCATCAAGACTCTTTTCTGGCGCCGTTGCCGGGGAGTGAAGCACCTCTGGTGAGTGGAATTTGGTAAGGAAACATTTATATTACGTGCTGAAATTTACTGTCACTTGTCACTATGGAAAGTGATCCTTTGAGGTGTTTGTTCGGGGTATATTCACCTCGACCGGAAGCACAAAGAGTTTCTTCTCAACCTAATTTACCTACTAAAAATATTTATTATGAAATTCCTTCGAGTATGATAGAGAAACGACTAGCTAATCCTTATGTAGGAGATGGAACCTTGCATCCTGATATGCACCTAATATATGTGGATGAGATCTGTGGATTGTTTAAGCTTGTAGGTTTACCCAGAGATGAAGTTAAGAAGAAGGTTTTCCCTTTATATTTGGGGGAAAGCATTGACATGGTATAATGTGATGATATTGGAACATGGGATTGGAACCGATTGAAATTGGAATTCATCAGAAGTTTTATCCTATGCATATGGTTCATCGTGATCAGAATTATATATATATAATTTTTGAACTTGTGAAAGAGAAAGTATTGCTCAAGCTTGGGGGAGGCTTAAGTCAATGTTGTATTCATGCCCCAATCATGATCTCTCAAGAGAAATTATTATACATAAATTTTATGCTCGACTTTCTCGTGATGATCAATCCATGCTCGATACTTCTTGTACTGGTTCTTTTATGAAGAAGACAACTAAATTCAGATGGGGTCTTTTGGAAAGAATTAAACACAACTCTGAATATTGGGAACTCGACGAAGGTAAAGAGTCAGGTATAAATCTTGAATTTGATTGTGTTAAAACTTTTATGGATATCAATGCTTTTCATAATTTTAGCACTAAGTATGGACTTGACTCTGAGATAGTAGCTTCTTTCTATGAATCATTTGCTACTCATGTTGATCTTCCCATGGAGAAATGGTTTAAATATCATCCACCTATTAGAGTAGAAGTAGAAGAACCTACTAAAGCAGAAGAGGAAATTATTACTTACAGTGTTTACCCTGTTATTCCTACTGCTTATAGTGAAAACCCCCCTTTTCCCGTAAGGATAAAAGAACATGCTAAGGTTTCACTGTGTCCCGCAAAAGTTATATAATAACACCTAATCCCTTTGAACAAATTAAAGTTGAACCCAATGTTGCTATGGTTAAAGATATCTTGGTTGATAACATTGACGGGCGTGTTATTTATTTCTATGGTGAAGCTGCTAGAATTGTTAAACCCGATGATAAAGATAAAAATAGACATGTTGTTGGCATGCCTGTTGTCTCTGTTAAAATAGAAGATCATTGTTATCATGGCTTATGTGATTTGGGTGCTAGTGAGAGTGCTATCCCATTTACCTTATATCAAGAAATTATGAATGATATTGCACCTGCTAAGATAGAAGACATTGACGTTACTATTAAGCTTGCTAATAGAGATACTATCACACCACTTGGGATTGTTAGAGATGTTAAAGTCTTATGTGGGAAAATAAAATACCCTACTGATTTTCTAGTTCTTGGTTCCCCACAAGATGATTTTTGTCCCCATTATATTTGGTAGACCTTTCCTAAATACGGTTAATGCTAAGATTGATTGCACTAAGGAAATTGTCAGTGTCAATTTTGGTGATGTGTCTCATGAGTTTAATTTCTCCAAATTCCATAGACAACCTCGTGATAAAGAACCGCC